GACACAGGGCCTGTAGGCCCTTGTTTTCAGGCTTTTAGGCTGAAAACAACACAGGGCCTGAAAATGGCCCTCGTTTCAGGCGCAGCATGTAACGCTAGTACAAGCCCGATCCCAGCTGCTCAGATCTGCCAGGACAGAGAGCTAGCAGGGCCGGAATGTGTGTTGTCAAGAACCCCGAACTCTCTCTCTCTCTCATTCCATCCACAAACCATCACGAATCATCCATGAAACAAAAGAAGTAAAGGTGGGCAATGTAATAAAAGATGCAAGGTTCCCCACATTTGTGTGGTTGGGCGGGAAGTGGCCACACACCGGTCTGCTGCCGAGCGGCACACTTGCACAAATTTATATATAGTTTTCAATCCATAAGCAAAAAAAGAGAGGGAAGCGCAAAGTGCCTACTCACCTGTCTGCCGCTGAAGCGTACAACTCCAGCCTTCCCCACACAATCACATACCAGGCATAGATCCAAACATTCGTCCGTACATCGATGGAGGACAAAAGACAACGTCCTTAACAAATTACCTTACACAAACCACAGTGCACCACAACACAGAAGGCTCTACCAACAAGAAAGCACTGAACAAAGCTCCCTCTGTGTGTGTGTGTGTGTGTGTGTGTGTGTGTGTGTGTGTGTGTGTGTGTCTGTGTGTGTGTGTGTTTTGTCATGGTCGCTGTACACAACTCCACAAAATAGTAAGGTATGACTGTACCAGACTGTTTTGTCGAACTTTGGCGGACTCATCACGAGGTTGAACCCTGACAGTCTGCCCAGAATTCATTTGACTGAGGAATAAGGACTCACCATGTCGCCCAGACTTAGCAATACATCTGAGAAAAGTGGTGGGCTTTACTCACACCAAGCCTGCAATCCTGGCAGACTGTCAATCCAAATCCCTGACAAGAATGGCAGTAAGTCTGAGAAACTAGTCTGGCACAGCCATAATGTGTGTGTGTTTGTCAACATCCCCAAACTCTCTCTCTCATTCCATCCACATACCATCCACATACCATCACAAGCCATCCATAAACAAATAAAAGTATAGATGAGCAATATAATAGAAGGTGCAAGGTTCCCCACGTTTGTGTGTTTGAGCGGGAACTGCCCACACACCCGTCTGCCACTGAAGCGGCACACTTGCACAGATATATATATAGTTTTTTCAGTAGGCAACATACCTAAAAACAGAAGGCTCCAGCAGCAAGAAAGCACCGACCATATCCCACAATAGTCCGAAAAAATGTGGAGAGCCCTCCGAGTCAGCCCACAAGCACAGCAGCACTGACACTCCTTTTCCTGCCAAACGACCCTCATGTCACAAACTATCTCTATCACTCCATGGCTAGACAGTCCCCATCTGCTGTCTTGCCTCTGGAGTGTATAAGAGTACCATAATCCCAAAACCACAAGCTCTTCACGCGACACGAGGAAGGCTACTGCTTAAAACACCCTGGAAGTCCCCGCCCCATTTCTTCCACGTGCTCCAAAAGAGCAGCCCATGGGAATGGCACCCACAGCAAACACTCTCTGAGCCTCCTCGCCAAGATGTCGTGGCGAGAACTCCATGCATATATTCACATTCACAGAATCTCCACGCGACACCAGGAGCAGTACTGCTTAAAACACCATGAAAGCACCACCATGTTCCGTGTGCTCCAAAAGGGCAGCCCGTGGTAGTGACACCCACGGCAAAGACTCTCTGAGCCTCCTCGCGAAGAAACCGTGACCATGACTCCAAACAGACATTCCCGCCCAAAAAAAATGGTGCCCACCCATAAACATGCCTTCATCAACAGACAGCCTATGCTCTACAGCAGGGCGAAGAATTAGACCATGTATGAATAAAAAAGAACCAACAAATTATCCAACCACAAAAAAGAATGGCTCGAGCCCGGTCCTAGCCGCTCAAATCTGCGAATGTGTGTGTGTTGTGTGTGTGTGTGTGTGTGTGTGTGTGTGTGTGTGTGTGTGCTCGCGCGTGCGGTTTTGTGTTACTTATCATATTCATCTCTGCAGACTCGACATACATTTGACGACTTTGCAGGCCTTGTATGATGACGATCGAGGAGCACACACCTTCATGTTAGCTGGCAGGGATTTTTCTTTTGATATTGGTTTCTCTCCATGTGCCTTAAATTGCAGGAGTGGAATGAGATGCATCATCTGAAGATCATGGAAAGTTTGGGTGGTGATGAGCTTTGGTTCGATCGTTTTATGGGCCAACATGCTGCTTTCGTTTACTATTGGGTAATGGCACTCTGTCCTTGTCCACCCTGTCCACCCCATACACTTCACATGCTCGCTGTAGCTCTCGCTAATCATTTATATGACTGCAATGAACCCAGATCATGAATACGATTGGCAACAATGCTAGTCCAGAATGTCAAGTCGCTGATAATTTCCAGTAATCAATAGTATCCAGAAAGAAGGAGGTGAGATAATCATATACAGACGAAGAGAGAGGAGGAAGATGAGACAAAGGAGAGGAAGATAAAATGCCCACTCCTCCTCCGGGATCCTCCCCTAACTGCCACCTCACAATAACCAGTACTCTGAACACATATCGAAGTCCTGTTACAATGTGCCACGTGGCACCCAATCAATCCTCTCATCAGCGCTGGAGTAAAATCAGCGTGAAGATCCCAGGTACGTATCCACAACCTCCACACAGTCCTGATCTCTCCTGAATGATGATATCCTGAACAGCAATACAAGTTACATAATGTCGCCACATCAGCAATACATATCCTACGTGGCAGCGGCCACGTCAGCAAGCCAAGAAGACAAGTGCCAGCCAGTCTCAAAGTCGAACAAGCAGAACGCCGTCGCCTCTCGAAGTGCCAGCCAAATGCCAGCGTCCACCAGCGTCACAGCGTCCAGCTAGCATAGTGTTGTCAACGCGTAGAGCAGCGTCAACGCAAGGCAGAAAGAATGAATCTCAAAGCCAGGGAGTCCATGCTTATATAGCGTTGACTCGGGGTCTGGATCCCGGCTGCTGCTGATTCCAGTCGTCCAGATCTTGACTCCGGTAAGGGCCTGGACCGATCTGAAACTGTATCCCCTTTTTCCTGGATGCATGCCTGGGTACCTGCGCACAACAAGTGGATGTATCCACCCAAGGGCCTGGCGTGGTACCTTTGACTTAACAGTTGACTTTGACTTTTGACTTTCCTGAACTTAGCACTTGGTCCCACAGCCAAGTGCGGCCTTCTCAGATCTGGGCATGTGTTGGTCACACAGCCCAGCGGAGACCAGCGCTGGTCTGCGTCGCATGGGGCTGAGTTCTGAGCCCCGGGCTTCTGCTGAACAGGGTTACTACATTCCTGCCGACCCATTTTCGAGTTCCACCGCAGAAATAATTAAGATTTTAACCCTCGTTCATAAGCAGCAACGATGTCAGGAGCAGTTTCAAGTAGTTCCTTCTTGTTGAACCATCGGTCCTCTGATGGTTGTTGAGATTTGAAACGTACCTTGAAGTGCTTCTGAGGACGTCTGCGTGCTCCTGTAGAAAAGAGCCCGTGTTCTATGATTCTATCGACTTCATAGCTTCGTTCCATTGATGCGGGAATCATAGAGGATCTGTTAGGAAACTCATTTCCATCTACATAAGGCAACAGTTTAGACGCATGAAAGACAGGGTAAGTTTTGAGATGAGGGGGTATATCTATTCGGTATGACGGTCCCTCTGCATCTCCTAATACCTTGAGAACTTCCCAGGGTCCAAAATAAACAGGTAGCAGTTTTTGAGATACATCTTCTTCCAGCGAAAACTCTTTAGACTTAACCCAGACCCAATCACCTACTTTGAATGTAGATGGTCGTCGATGCTTATTAGCCTGTTCTATCATTTGTTATTGAGCTTTCTCTAGATTTTCTTTTACTTTCTTTATGTCTTCTTGGAACAAAACTGCGTATTCTCGTCCCTGGAGGTAACCTAAGAAATTGGTCCCGTGTTAGCACATCAATGGGACGCTTAGGTTTCCATCCCTTGTGCAGTGCGTTAGGACTACGTCCTGTAGCAGTATGAACACTGTTATTATAAGCCCTAGCAATCTTGGGCAAGTTCTCATCCCAGTCAATCTGATCGGTTCGTACGTACATGCGCAAGAGCTGTTGGCACAAGCGGTTCATCTGCTCACTTTGCCCATTCGTTTCAGGGTGTCACCCTGACGACATGGTCAAACGTGTACCGTATGCCTCCATCAGCTTTTGCCATGGCATACTTGTGAATCTCGCATCTCGATCAGACACAATAGATAAGGGAAATCCATATTCAGTAACCCATCGCATCTGAAATTTCTGAATCACAAGTTTAGTCCGTGCTTCTGCAGGTAAGGGAATGAACAAAGCATACTTAGAGAAACGGTCAACAATAACCATCACTTGACTATTGTCATTGCGGCTTTTTGTGAGACTCATGAAGTCCATTGATATTGACTCACTTGGTTCACTTGGAATCGGCAGTGGTCTTAGTAAACCAAGAGGGTTCTTATGTGAAGGTTTGTTTCTCCGGCACACCAGACAGGTACGAACATAAGTTAGTACATCTTCTTTTAGTCCCTTCCACTCGAAGCGTTCTCTAACCTCAACGTAAGTTTTCTTGAATCCAAAGTGTCCCTCAAAGTCATGACATTCTCCAATCAATAGACTTTTGATTTCTTCTTTGTGAGGGATACAAAGTCTTTGCTCAGTTTAGTCAATCAAGAAAAGCAAACCATCGGCTACTCTGTAGTTGGGAAGTAAAGATGGGTCTTTGACAATAGTGTCGAGGATAGGCTTCCAGATAGGATCAGTAGCGTACCCTTGGCGAATCTTATCCTTCAGGTCACTCCCCACATCCAAATAAGAGACAATAGTCCCAAAAAAATCACTTCGCCTGGACAATGCATATGCAACCACGTTAGATTTTCCTTTGATTGTTTTCAGTTCAAAGTCAAAGGTATCAAGAAAAGCAGACCATCGTACCAGTTTGTCAGAGAGCTTAGGTTGTGTCTTTATCCACTGCAAGGTAGAGTGGTCTGAGTACACAATAAAGTGCCTCCCTAACAAGTAGTGCTTCCAGGTTTTCAGAGCACAGACCAAGGCATACAATTCCCTTTCATATGTGGAGTTGGCAACTTTTTCATTGGGCAATCGGGTAGACATAAATTCGACTGGTCTGTAATCTTTGCCATTGTCCTGTTGAAGGACTGTGCCAATTCCATACTGACTTGCGTCAGTTGTAACAGTAAAGGGAAGAGATGGATCAACAATTTTCAGAATAGGATAGTGGGTCAGTGCGTACTTTAGTTTCTTGAATGCAGAATTACAGTCCTTATCCCACAACCATATAGTTCCTTTCTTTAGCAATTTCCTCATTGGTGCGGCGATCAGTGAGAAGTTCCTAACAAACTTCCTGTAGTAACTTGCCAAACCAAGAAAAGAGCGTAGTTCGGTGGTAGACTTAGGTTGTGGCCAATCTCTAATTGCTGAAATCTTCTTTTCCTCAGGCCTTAGACCATTTTCGTTCACTATATGCCCGAGGTATAGGACTTCCGACTTAGCGAACTCAGATTTCTTTGGATTTAACTTGAAGTTACCTTCCCGCAACTTCCCTAGTACAAGACTTGGTTGTCTTGCAGGTTCAATCCTGGAACCTGCAGCAACCGGTCAACCTCCCGCGACAAGGCTTCCACCGAAGCCCAATGTTTCTGTCCAATGGTTCTGAGCTGGTCGAAGGCCTTGTCGGTCGTGGTCTTGTCCAAGAAGCGTTCCTTGATCTTTCCAAGGAACTGCTTCAACGTCATTGTCCCAGCCCAGTCCCCAATGTCATTGAACCCGGCTGCGTTGGCTTCGGTCAATACCCATTCCTTAGCCTCCCCCCCTAAACAAGAAGTAGAGAAGGCAATCTGGGATTCGGTTTCGACAGGGGCCGTACCACAGTATGTCTGAATCTCTGCAGTCCACAATAGAAAATTTTCATCCTTCTTATTGCAAAACGTGAAAGGCAATTTCATTTTAACTTTGTCCGTTTTTTTTGGTTTCTTAGGTTGTGCAGGGCCCTCTTTCTTTCCCGGCGGCGGACTCGACGGTTCCCCTTTCTTTTCTTCAGTTTTCTTCTTTTCCGGTGTGTGCGTTGCTATCTTGAGAGACTTCATCGCATCTCCCATCAGTTTCTTGGGTTTCTCTTCCTTCTCTTGCTCAACCACTTTGTTCTTTCCTTTGACCAGATTCGTGACAGTCTGTAGGCCTGCGGTAAGCTCATCAAGTCGCATGCCAAACTGATCAAGTTTCACTTCAAGGTGAGCGAGATAATTCACAAGTTGGTTCCAAGAAACAGTTTGTGCTTCCCTTTCAGTTACCACCACATTCTGTCTGATCTCATCTATTTTCTGTTCTTGCTGTCTATTTCTTTCTTTTTCTCTTCTGAGCTCCTCCTTTCGGTTCTTCTCTCTTTCGAGCGCTTCTTCAAGCTGACGGATATTCTCATCCACGGTTTCCTCAGTCACAAGAACTTCTTTGTTTCCACTTCCATTAACAATCTCATTAACCTGGTCCATAATGTACTTATCAAGTGCCTGACGACACTTGATAAGTACCTCCTGAACTTGGATGACATCGGTGCTCGTCTCAGCTACCTCGAGAGCAGCATGTGTTGCTTCCAAGTCAAACTGGCTCCGGACGTTGGCTTCTGCCTCAGCACCAGCATCATGAAGTTCAGAAATCAGGTTGCCCAAGCGGGGGGTTAATACTTTCTTCTGCTCGGTTATCTGTTGCCTGGTTCGGGGATCAGGTAGCTCCCCAACAGTCTGAGACTCGAAGGATTGGGACATTGTGATGTGCGTTCGCTGCACAATAAACAATTAATAAACAGTAATAAATTCCACATTCGCACGATTCTACAACAGCAAGGTTTATTTGTAATTGAAGGAGAAAAATAGGTTCAATTATTTAATTTACTACTAATGCTGTTCGGTTCTTGATCTATGTGATGACGTCCTATCCGGATTCTACAGGTACCACTTCAGGCCGTGTGATCAGATGCAACACACAAGTGAGTACGCACAACACAACAAGCAACACAAGGTAAGTATGCCAACACAAAACAACAACAATTGGGTCGGCAATCTTCTTCTTCCTTGCGTCAATCTTAATGCGTTATAGCACACCGCTCGACAGCTGGCACTACAACTGTCCAATCAACCATTCAATCAGTCGTACCGCCGTCGTCGTCGGAATGCAGTCTCTCACTTAGGCAGCTTCCCGCCTGCCACGTGTCATCCCTGGCATGCCAACATAGCGATCCTGCCACATCAGCACATAGTCTGTCCAGTCTATCAATAGTGGGATGACACGTCAGCAAGTGTGTTCTCTGATCCTTGTCACGTTCATCGTCCAAGCTTCATATGAGGCACCATCTCCGTTCCAGCCAGTCAATGCAGTACCA